GTGCGTAAGCATGCACTTCACGCTTACCTTGCGTTAGCCTTAAGAGTGCAGAGCGTGCTCTGCACTCGGCTCTCGGCGGATCGAACGTTTCTTTGAGCCGAGATTGAAAGATCTCCAACGACTCAAACACGTTTGAGTCGTGAAGCTTGAGCCCTAAGGCCCAAGTCTTTGCTTGTCCTGTCAAATTTAACAGGACGAAGGTGTCTTGCACCTTGCCACCCGCAATGTGACGGGCCCTGATGGCGTCGTCTAAGTCGACTAACGATCTCAAAAGGGAATCTTCAACATTTACCTTGTACCTTGAGATATCAATCTTTAAGGCTTCGGGTCGACGCGTGTGCGTCTGCTCGCCCATCGATAGATGAGAGCCTTACTGCAGTAGCAAGGCTATCTTCTGTCTTTCGACGGTTATTTTCCCTTGCAGGAACTTGTTGATAGCAACGTGTTGCTGGTCTCTGCTTAGAGTCTCCAACGTGCCACTTATGGAGGGTTCGCCCGTGAGCACACTCATGCGGCCGACTACCTCCCATTCTTAGTCATTCAGATGAGTGTAGCCGTCACGTGTGACGTCAAAGCTGTATTCTTCTACGTCTAACATGTTCATGCTGGACGGACACCAAGTATTCGTTGGACGGACAACGAATTGCTACCAGGTGAAACGGGGCACCCTTTGTCAGGGTGCCGCGAAACCTCACGTACACTAGTACGTGCAGAGGAAGCTAACCTTCTCGAAGAGATAGTTTGAGTAGAATATAAAAATACAACTGCATTTCATACAGTTAAGCTATCAATATAACTTCATTTTTATCTAACTATATTAATCTACATTGTCGTATGACGACTACCTGCTCACCACTCATTACGTGCGTCTAGCAGCGATTGGTGTTTATCTATGGTTGACATGTCTTGTACCAACCAATCTTTGAGCAGCGCATGAAAATCATCCTAAGGGGATAAAATTCCTTCGATATTATCCATCTCGGATAATTTCGGTAGAATATTGTCATGCTAGACAATATCCCTATTGACACCGTTTGGTGTCAAGTTCATGTACCGGGCTACCTCGTTACAAATATTGTATCCTTAGCATCCCATGCCACCAACTCTTTGCCATCGTTCGCGTTGCTCTACAGTTATCTCTTACGATACTTAGAAAAACTTTGATGCTAAGCAGCCCACGAAGAAGCTGCCTTATCCATCCACGTTCAGACACATGCGTCGCACCGGCGATGAACTTCACAAGGAGGTAATAGTCGACCGTTTGCAACATGCTGACAAAGCACTATCGGCGTCTTGGATTGTGGTTAGAGGATTTTTGGTCAGTCTGGTGCTGTCTTAGTTTGCCGTCAAGTCTCTTCAGCGAGTCCAATCTGTATTGATTGTGATTTCCCACTATATGCAGGATTATTTACACCTCACCTTCCATTCTTTTTGTCAAGCTAATAAGCAACTATGCATGACATGCACGATGGTGGATGACGGATAATTGTCAATGATATATGAATGACGTCTTCGTTTTGGATTACTAGATGTAATAGAGGGCTCTAAAACTCGCCCTTTCATATAAGTAATTCAGCTCAAAGAATTGATATAACTTCTGAAATTAACATTCTAATGTCTAATGATTGGCGGCTAGGAAATGGGTTGTAACCTGTACATCAAAGATAAAAGAGATGAAGGATTTGTAATCAAAGACCCACTCGTTGATTTTGTTGATGTTCTAAAATACGATTATGAAAAGGGAGATGTGGTAACTTCTGCTCGGTGGCGGCTTTGACTTCAAAGTGCGGCCGACAACTCATAATGTATGTACGATAAAGGGAAGTGATAGTGTGAAAGAGGCCTCTGCTGCACGGAGGCAAATCGTGACCTGAACCTAGTACTATTTATGTACACTAGAAAGGGAAGCACTGAAATGTAAGGTAAATCGATTCAATTTAAGCACTTCAGTCCATAGAACTGAATCAAGTTCTGCATATCACATACTTTGTGCTTTGTAACTGATAACTTCACCCTTCGGGCTCGCAATAAATCCTATTCACAATGAAGAAGGGATAAAATGCTACATCGTACCTTGCACGACATGGAAGAAATATGTAGAGTTTTGTACCGACATACACACACGAGGGGCTAGGCTGATGTGCTCTTATCACGAAGTGTTTAGTACACACAGTGTTACTCATAGTCACACTTGTAAACCAATTAGTACAGTAAAAAAGCCTGGTACTCACCTTGCGCACAGTCACTAATACCTTCACACTTTGGGATTGCAACAACATTGCTTACACCAGAAAATAATGTATATGTCATCGACCACATAAGCACTTGAAGATTAATCGAAACTCAACAAGCACGGCTTCTAGCTCATCTGTGCATCGTCTCGGCTCAAAGAAGGTTATGCCGCTTACAGTGTCATTTTTTAAATAATAATACCAACCTATTTGATCATACGCAACCGAAGTAATTATGGTTCTTCCCAAAAAGTTGGGATTTCTCCTTTTACCTCCACAGTGGTTATACCGGTTAGAAATTGCTCAATTTACTTCTATAGCGGTACTACCACCAGGATCTCCTAAGAGCATCAACGATCTACGCTATGCTGGCGCTGCAACCTAAGCTGATTCCACTTCGTGTCAATGGAAGAAGTAGGAAAAGGTATTGCTATACAATCATTTTCAAGCCGCGTGTATCACGGTTTGAGACGCTATGCCTTTTTTTGCATCTCAAATTGTTTAACTTAGGTCATCCAATTCACGTTTCGTTTCGTGCATTAAAACTGTACTGCCTGCTAAGTTTACTCATCATGCGGTACTAGCCTTAACAACTAGATGACGTAATCAATGCTTTACATGTGTCAACTGCTTCTGTCATGGACAGCATAAAGTGTACAGTACTTAAGACTTTGAATGACCATTGCAATACAGTGCTTGATTTTGTCAAAATGAGATCAAATTTTGGAGCTTGCCCTTTAATATAATCTTTTTTGCCGTAGGAACTGACTCGATTTCTTTATATTATTGCACCCTTGAGCAAAGTCACCCTTCGGGCTCACAGTCATCCTTCTCTTTTCAAGAAGCAAGATATTTTTTGATTAGAGCGTCTTAAGCAGTGAGTGTAACTTAACTTTTTATAAGCCAATGGGAAATCAGCATAACTTTCGCTCAAACTTATACGCAGAAAACTTCACAAGCAGTCGGTATAACTACTGTATGTAGTAAAAGTCTATTTTTTAGCTGAGCGTGACAGGTAAATTTATGATCGCCCTTATTCGTTTTCTTTGGTCCCCAGTTAAGCTCAAAAATACAATACTGCCAGTGTCATTTAGACGTCGTCGTCGACTTCAAAATCATCGTCTATATCTATCAACTGCAGTCAATGACATGCAATGAACACTCCCCAATAAACTAAATTGATCTTGAAACCTGAGTCAATGACATGCAGTCATAAAAGCTATCTCGGGTGTACAAAACGTAGGCGGGATAGCGAAAACCATTTTTTTTTCTCGAGGTATCCTCTAAGTTATTTTTGCTGCTGTGGCCCACTTTAATGTGTACTACTCAAGAGCGTTTTTGATTGAATAGAAAGTAAAGTTATGCTGACTGCTGGAGACGCCTAAGGCATGAATACAGATGTCTGTTCACTGAATTTTTTCCGACTAGTACAGTTTAGCAAGTCTGTTTAATATGAGGTGCCGTACAGGCGTTTGACGCAAATCGATCTACAGTCAAGACATAACTTGTGTAGTAGTCACAAGCATCTGAGCTGTTTGAGTGACATCAAACTTTGTCGCGTCGTATGCACCAAATTTGGAACCTAGAGGGCAAACGCAGCATGTACTTCTTTCATGATGCTGGGCACTGGATACACTAGCAAATAGTCGGATGGATCGATACACTAGCACACTGTTGTTCGACAATAATTTTGCGTACTACTTCGTACGAGCGCAGACTTCTACATGCCTTTGATCAGTCTTTAATCCAATTGCTTCACGTGCACCCTGGAAGTACATGCGGTAGGATAGAAGGCAGAATGCAATAGGTCGCTTGCGTCACGGGTGCTGACGATATGGAAGGACGAAACTTCAGCAGCAGTGGCAAGCAAAGTGTATTCTTCTGTAAAGGTTAAATTGATGAGTGGTCAGCATTAGCTCAATGGCGAGTCCAGCACATGCGCATTAGAAATGAAGCCGTTTGTACCCCTCACCAAGGCTCAGGCATCGTCCGTGGTGACAGTCTCATCATTCATAGGAGCCCACGGAGGCCTGACATCACACTTGGAGTGGCCCTACACCATTTACTGCTGTCTCAGACTCCACGTCCATCCTCACGCTGTTCTTTTGGTTCTCTTTAGCTCTCTAGAAGGACCCACCAGTCGGTTTGCCGCCAAAATCCATAGCGTCGATCTTCTCGTCACGCTGTCCCTCCAGCCTTTTCCGTAGCGGCTCCAAATCTTGAAGAGGTTTTTGCGCCGGTGCTTGAAATCAAGATGTCTCTCTTCCACATTTGACGTTGCAGCATTTTGCCGAGCCCGTCGCTTTCCCCACAACGTCACCGTACTTCGTAACCACGGCATCACCCTTTCCTTCTCTCCTCACCCATTTGTCGTGCGCCACGACTTCGAGCGCCTGAGGCTCCTGACACACTTGTGCCTTGCAGAGGGGTGATCGGTCCTCTAGCCTTGCTCGAGAGGATCTTGCGGAGTCAAAGGTAAAAGTGATAATGTTTTAAAGACCATGTTACTCCACCGTGTCTAGCTTTTGCGATTCACGAAATTGTCGCCGTGCTCTAGACCAAGTTGAGAGTCAACAACAGATAGTACTGCACGTTCTGCAAGTCGTCAATTTCAAATACAGATTTCTACTCTTCAAGATACATCTATCTCGTAAAAGAATCCAGGTCGAACCCGTCACCATTTTTCGGCTTGAAAACAGTCTCGGGATGACCACTGGCGGTTTCCAATGGTCAAAATGTGAACCATTCACAAGTAGAACTCAGTTGTCTTTAATTGGCGGGGGGGGGGGCTGGATTGTTATGGCTCACCGTTGGCTGACCGCCACCGCCGGGATGAGTAACGGGGATCAGTGGTGGCTTGGCATCATGCGTGGTGTACACTTCGCCATTCGCTATTGCCTTGCCCTTTTCTTTCACGAGGTTGGCAAGCCCGGACGTGGTCGTCGACTTCTCAGCATCCACAACGACCGGCTTACTGCCTTTCATCATTTTAAACCATTCGTCGATTTTCTTGAACGCGGGGAATTCCAGCAACATCTTCTTGATTGGCACGAGTAACTTGAGTAGCTTGCCGACGAACAACACCTTCTGCTTAACCTCATCTATTACAATTCTACCAGCAGCGGCTCCCAGCTCACCCAAGTGTTTGTCCACAGCCGGTCCGGCCTTTCGAGAGACAAACTTGATTCCATTCCCTATCCATACCCCCACGGTCTCGACTAGTCCAGTTCTCTCCTCAAGAAGTAGTGCCTCTTCCAAGGTACCTTGCACATGAGCGTTCCTCAACAGCCTCTTGGTGTTCACTTTGTAGTCGTCGCCATCCGTCCCGCGGGCCACAAACTGAGAGACGTCCTGCTTGAGTACAGCCTTCGGGTCACCAGCAGTCGGAACCGAGTGGCTGCAAGACAGCAGAGCGGCCAGCGTGGTCACTGCGGTGTATGCCAGACGCATCTTTCTTGCTGTTGCAGGTGAAGGGTCGAGGGCAGTAGTTGTGGGATGTGAGCTGCAGTTGGTCGTGGGCTCTTGTTGGTTGTGAGAACTTGGTCGCGTGACGCTGAATGTGGAAGTGAGGTGTCAGGATCGCAGCCGGTAGTAGGGCTCCGTCCCGAGCAGGATGGGGCGAGATTGGTCGATCCCGCGTTTTATCCCGCGTAGGACGGGATGGGACGCAGGATACTGCGAGACGAGGTCATTGAACGCTTTACCTTACGTATATTTCGAAACGACCAGACATGCATGCACATGATCGTTTCCATCTGCTGGAGGAGCTGAAGAATAAGGATAATAGTTAAACGGTATAATAATCCGCTATATGATAACTGCTTACCTGCTACAAGCAGGGCTCATCATCAATGCAGTAGAGTTCCAGCGAGTAGCGAAGTTTTGAAGTACAAACTACCCGAGAATGTTAGACTATGCGATTGCTCGAAAGCTATCTTGACATTCGGCGGAATATAAAATTCTCTAGACGAGCTTGTAAGCAATCGAGTTACTACCGGAAAGAAACTCACTTACACTAGATATTAAAGTCGCGAGCCCCCAGTAGGCTAAGGATGTCCAACCGGGTCGTCGCTGGAGGCGAACAAATGGTCGTTACGATGCTTGAAGCATCTATAATGCCTCGATGCATGCTTGACACAAAGGTTGAGTAATCTCAACATTTACTGAATTTGTCAAGGTATACATTTAAAACGGATGACGATTTCATTCCACGCTCTCTTGATTCTTAGACCTTCTTTATGGGTCGAAATTCAAGAGAATCTCAACGTCGTGTATTATGATGATTATAAAATGCGGGATGGTAACGGCTCATCCCGAATCCCTTCTCGCGCGAGATGTGATGCGGGATCCGCGGGATGGGACGCTGCAGAGCAGGGCCCTAGCCCGTAGCCCTCGACCTGTGGTTGACTATAGGATACAGGTCTGCGACAGCTCCGAGCTGTCGCGAAGCGGGAGAATTGGCGGGCTGACACGGAAACATATGGAGCACGTCTGCTTTGCGTGAAAGCGAACAGCCCGATTTGATCCTCGATAGCCGTCATCGGAGATGACAAGCCCCGTCCACCCACCAAAATCGCAAGGGGATCGGCGATGCCGACCAGGCTTACAGGAACTTTATCAGCACGAGAGCGCCGAACACTACATTCTAGGGTTCAGGACATCCGATTATGACAGTGCATCGAGAAATTCGTCACCAGCTCTGCGCATTCCAGAGCACCATATCATGCGGTGAGTCACATACAACCACCGGACCATTCGACACCGACGTTGCTAATCGGGCTTAGGACATTCCAGAAGTTTAGTTCACATTCATACCGTGTAAAAAAGTATCTGATCCTCTCTCTGACCAGGCTTGGAAGATGTCAGCCATCCTGTTCCACTTACAGATTCTATGTTCTTGCTTGCCTCTTTCCTCGCCTGAAGGTCATCTATCATGTTGAGCAGGCTTCATCCGAATTTGTACAAATCGGTTACGACAACGATGCGACATGCGCGCAATGAGTGAAAGGATGTGACGTGATATGTTCAACACAACGAGCGCTTTGACACAAACGTAGATAGCGAGTCGTTGGTGCTGTTGGTTAGTGCTATAGGCAAGCAGACACGAAAGCCGAGTTCACATGAGCACATGGCCACGAAGGCAACGAGTCCGCCACTCCGAGCGCTCATTCCGTGCACTCTCAGTGCCTACAAATACGCATGTATTGCTGACGTGGGAAAAAGGTCTGATCTCAGGCTGATACCAGGACCAGAAGTCTTTCCATCGCTCGTCTGCTTCAGAAGCCTATTGATCTCGTTTTGCGCTAAGCCGTTGTTGCCAGCGCGCAGCCAACACAACCTTCCCAATCTAAATACAATCGAAAGTTCGCGTACTGCAGAGCAATTTATCGACGGGACTAGTATTTGGCGACCCTTTTTGTTTTACTTGATCATTTTGTAAGAGCGTCTATGGACGAAGTGATGCTGAGACTGAGCTGCAGCTTCTCAAATTCCATATGGCATTACTACTCTGCATCACTAACGCGCTGTGAAAAAAGGCTCTCGTTAGAGCGTCTACAGCAGTCAGTATAACGTAGCTTTCTGTCCAATCAAATAAACTTTATTTAGTTAGTGTGGGCCCGAATGGTGAAGCTTAGACTGTGCGCAAGATGGAATGCCGTGCTTTCATATCGTACCTATCTGTGTGTGTTTGTGTGTCTGTAGATAACGCAGTTAGGTGTGTTAACTCGTACCAAGTGCGATCTAGCGTGCTATCCCTCACAGTTCGATTTGCATGATAGGTGTCTGTCACTCTATGGTTAGGTCTACACTGTGATGCACGCACCTGATCGGCACAAAATCGATCAAAGGTGAATGTGATCACAAAAGCAAATGCTAGACGATCATAAGCAAAGGCCGATCACGTTGCCCAAGTATACTGTACCGTGCTAATCCATACATTGACATCATCATACTCATTCTTCAGTGAATGCTGTTGTATAGTGTTTTGCAACTAATTGAGTTCTCCAAACATGATTGCTCTTATCAAGGGCGAGCTCCAGGTCTTGCTCCCTTATCTTACTCATAAACGTGCGCCACAGCAGCGAAATAACTCGGGGACAATTCTAGAAAAGATAGTTTTTCGTAATCCCGCCTACTTTTGTAGTTCTGTGACATCTGAGATAGCTTTTTCGGCTGCGTGTCATTTGCTTAGAATATTGGAATTGATCAGTTCTTTGGCGAAGATTAGCTGCACGTCATCGGCTCCAGTTGACAGAGGAGAACGATAAGTCGTTGACGTGGTTTTAAGTGGCATTGCCACCATTATATCGTTAAGCCTAACTGTGGATAAAAGACAACAAAGGAAACCACAAGCTTTACCAGTCGCGTTCGGTCGATAAACCTTAAATTACACAGTTATTCCGACTGCAATGAAAGTTGTGCATTTAACTTTGAAACAAAGTTATACTGGTCTCTGGTTTGCGCACAGAAGTTTAGTTATACTTACTGCTGGAGACGCTCTTAGCATGCAAACTTCAGCTCGGTAAGCCAATGTTTCCTTAAATGTGGTGCACGTAAGAACGAAAGCCCTGTACCCAGGCACAATAACGATCAAACTATGGCCCTTGTAACGGGGTGAATCGTTACATAACAATTTATAAGAAATTGTTAATAGAATATAACTATAAGTGTTACATTCTCAGAATATTGTCATAAGGACAAATATTCTGTAGCACTTACGAGTAGTTCCTAATTGGTTGATACGGGCCATTAAATCAACCAACGAAGACGCGCCACGACAGACGCACGCAATGAGTGGTGAGCAGATAGTTGATTTACACATTTGTATTTAGACATAGTTAAATGAAGATAAATAGTGATTTATTGCAGACATTAACTATTATGAATACAGTTCTACTTTTTACTTTAACCGAGTACTCGCTTCTTCTTACCGTCTTCCTCTGCACGTACGAGTGTACGTGAAGTTACGAGGCACCGCCTTATTCTGTCATCAGAATAAGTAGCTTGTACTGTCATCAGTACAAGATTCAGGGTGCCCCGTTACACCTGGTAGCACTTCGTAGTCCGTCCAAGGACCACGTTCACATCTAACATGAATATGTTGGATGATGAAGATGACCAAAGCTTTCACGCTACGCGTGACGGCTACTCCCATGTGAACAATGTCGAATGGGATGCGGTTGAACGGATGGGTTCAACCATGGGCATCCATGCTGTTAGCGTCATGCTAGAGGCTCTCAATAGAGATGCCCAACATGCTACTATCGCCAAGTTCATTCAAAATGAACTTGACGCTGAACGCGAGAAAGTAGCCTTGCTTCACCAACAAGGTTCTCAACAAGCAGAGTTGTTGAGAGAACAGGGTGCTCAACAGTTTGAACTGTTGAGACAGCAGCAGGCTGCTGCTGATGGGTCGATGCACTCGCGTCGACTCGAGACCTTGAAGATTGACATCTCCAAGTATAGGGGAGTCGAAGAGGACTCCCTCTTGAGATGGTTCGTCGAATTGGATGACGCCATAAGGGCGCGCCGCATCGACGACGGGGATATGCAAGTTGCATTTGCCCAGTCAAATCTGGCAGGACGTGCCAAGACTTGGGCACTGGGGCTCAAGTTGCACGACCCATATGCGTTTGGGTCGTTGGAAGTCTTCAAGTCGCGGCTCAGACAAACGTTTGAACCGCCTAGAGCTGAGTTCAGAGCTCGAACCGAACTCTTGAAGCTCAAGCAGGGTAAGCGTGATGTGCACGCTTACGCGCAGCATATACGACATCTCACGAGTCGTATAAGTTCCAATCCGGTGGATGAACACACGTTGGGTTCGGTGTTCATGCAGGGTCTTGCGGATGGTCCCGTCAAGACTCACCTGTTCCGACTTGAACTAGATTCACTAGAACAAGTCATTTACATTGCGGAACAGGAAGACTTCAGTCTGAGACAGGCTCGCGCCAGCTCGACATCGTATCGTCAACCGAGACGATATGACAGCGGAGGTCCAGAGCCGATGGAACTCTGCTATGTAGAGAGCGAGAAGGCTCGCTCTACAGGCTACAAGAAGTTGCAGAGATGCAACAGATGTCAAAAGACAGGACACTACGCTTATGAGTGTAGTGCTCCTCGTCCAGTGTCTCGCGACACTGGGCGTAGTGACCGTCCACCCATGAGAAAGGGGCAGGGACGAGGGTCCGCTGTTGGTGCAAAGACGCAACAACGGGATGGACCGTCAAAAAACGGACAGGATCAGTAGTTGCGGAGCACCCTACTGATCCAGCAACGTCAAGAGAATTTGTAGGCCTCTTGATGAAGGTTGCTCCCAACACACAAACGTTGTGCGTTGCTGCTCTAGGTAATGAGGTCTCACTCATTACCTTGAAACTCGAAGTGACGAATAAGTTGTCCCTTCGAGCTCTAGTCGATTGTGGGGCGTCCAACAATTTTGTGCAACGCCA